AACAAAGCTTTTTTCATGAAAAAGCAAAATGAAATGTTAGTTTTTGTACCTGGTGGCACATATCGCCAGCCCTGAGGGACTCCTTGCGATTGCTTTTATTGGATGCGCACCAGGTGCAAAAGCCTATTTTTCTATTAAGGGCGCACTAAACGTCCGAATGTTAAAGAAAAAAAAACCCCTAAGGTACTAAAAGGTATTTATTTGTACAGTGACTTAATAACCGTAACTTGATAATTTATTTAAGTGTGAATCTTCTAACACTCATATAAATTTTGTGCTTAAATAATTTAATCTTAGACACTAACAAATTATTAAATATTTAGAAGCATATTCTTTAGATACCAATTAATGATAAAACATTTAGAAATTTGGGACTATTGAAAATATGCAAAAGACTTTTGTTCAATAAAGTTAGAACATCAACTTAATTACATATTATAATAACCTGTACTTACCATAAGTCTGAATGAAAACTCGTTTTACGGCTCTGGTTTTATCCTGCAATACGACATTAGCGGGCCGTTTTCTTCCAACTTTTTTTTCTGGCTGCACTGTCAATCAAAACAAAAAATACAAGATTATTTAATAATAATTGAGTTTATAAAGGACAGCAAAAAGGCATATATGCATTACTAATAGTTAATAAAATAAGAAAACTGGTTTACACTTACTCTTCAAAGTTGACTTTTGAAGCTTCAAAGTTGAGCTGCGAATACACTTCTAAGTTGTTCAAATAAATTTTAGTTGCTCTGAGCGAGGCAGTACTAACACTGAAGTCTAAAGCTGGTCTCTTGCCACGGTAATGCTACGTGGGGTGGAGTCAAGTTAAAATTTGTCGTGAGTGTGAGGAAAATAACACGACATCACTGTCTCAATTCACCACGTCATTGTTCGTTGTTAATAAGTGATTGGTCGCCTAGGAACAGCCAAATGAAATTTTATCACCTGACTACAGCGAACAAATTGGTTGCTTTGTCAGTAGAGTGACGTAGTTTTCTTAAAATTTCTGTTTGGGGAAAAGCGATATGTTATCTGTTTCGACAGGCAATTATTTAATACTTAACTAGACAAAGCATTAATGAATGCAGCCTCGAAAACACGATATGACTGTAACTTCAGTATAGATGGCTGTAGATTTCACAAGCTTCTAAAAATATTTTTCATCATTAACCTTTTAAGAAAAATTGATTTACTGATGTGCTGCGTTCTCTGAGAGCTCTTAAAACAAATCGTAACCAAAAAAGTACAATAATATGTTTACCAAACAGCTTGTCTATATGTTCATATCCCAGAGTTAAATAAATCTATGGAGTTAATACAGGTGGTATTGTGCTTACATGCAGTCCAAAGGAGTCACGAGATAGCTTAATTTAGAAAAAGAAATTTATAAATGAGACAATTTCATCATAAAAAAAACTTTACTGCTATATAAGGAAGTAACAAGCATTGCGTGTGTCCAACTGATAAAGGCAAAGTCATTACGTAGAGCTGCAATCATAAAGCAGCCCCTAGTTGGGATGATTCAGGAAATAGTAAATATACGTGTGAATCAATTTGTGAGTCCGATCGACTCCTTCATCAAACACAGACTTTTATAATTTTCTTCAAATCAATCTTATAGATTTTTCAAAAAATTGTGGATTTTCATAAAGAGATATAGTTGTCTGTTTGTACCGTACATGTATGCCCCGGTAACAGTTTATTGTAATTCAATAAAACAAATTACGTATATACACATGGATACTTATTAAAGTCAGCACAAGTGTGTACTCCAGCCAAAAAGACGCACTTAAAAGATTTACCGCCCAAACATTACAGTTTAAAGTTTGATAACAACAATCAGACTAAAAAAAGATTTTTTAAGATCTAGCTATACTGTCAAGTCTATTTGAGTTAAGCTAGTATCTCAGTACTCATAATTTACAACTGTTTGGCAACAATCCGTGATTTCGAGCCGATTTGCAGTTACAAACTTCTGATCAATCTTATATAAAAAATACTAAAAATACATCAATAATGATGAATAAAATTCTTTGTGTTCAAAAATCAATCCATCTATGTAAAAGAGTTTATTACAGCATTTTTCGGAAAAAAAATTTTTTTTAATTTATTTATTTAAGCCTCTACATCTTACAGTTAAAAATACTTAACAGTAGCGTTAGAATGCTTAACAAGTAATTGTTCGCAAGAAATAGATTTTTTCTAGTTTGGGCGTTTTTTTTACCTATAGACCTTAGTAAAAAAAAATAGAGTTCGCACCTGGTGCGCATCCAACCAGAACAAGTATAAGGGGTCCTTCAGGCCTGGTGCTTGCTCCGGAGACACGGGCCACCAGGTACAAAAAAAGTACTATTTTCCATTTAAAAAAAATGTTTTTTAAATGCAAAATTCAATCATTGTTTTGCAGCCACCACATGATAGTTAGGACAAAAAAGGCATTTTTTAATGTAAAAATCGCGAGATATAATAGACATACATAAACAGACTTACAAGTTTGCTAGTAGTATGTGATTTTTATATAAAGAAAAATGAAGAGGTATGTTTTTATTTCTAGTGGTTTAATAACCACTGATGAAATTTAAATACGTAGGTATTAGTGTCATTAATAATGCTTGGTAACAGAGAAATCGGATTACTGGCTGTATAGCTTGTCCATGTATAGGTGTATATACCGATCTTTACTACAATCAACTCGACTCGCCTTCTTCTCTTATTTCGCTCCTACGTATATATTATGCATGTATGTATACATGTACATGTTCACAAAACCGGGTATGGGCTGCTGCAGTACTTGTGATGATAAACATGTGTTTTTTGCGCCCATGAAGGAAACGAAACAGAGCATTTATTATCGTTATAACACGACAATTTTACTTGCATATTGTTATAATATAATATATGCCTTATCCAAGCTGTATGTGTATACAGCTCCTGCTGAGGCAACTGAAGCTTTGTATGTAATCTGACTTTGTATCAAATATATAAACGAGTAGACGTATTACACGTGAACGTGTGGGTGTAGTGAGGGGCTGCAATTTTTTCAACACGCGTTACTTCCATCGAAGATTTGGCCTTGCATTCGACCGGATGAAATTTTAAATTTCGATTTATGTATGAGGGTTGTTCCATTTGTTCTCTATGGCAATTCAATTTTGGACCATCATACGTATTTTTCAACACAATTCTGTGTATCCTAGTGAGTTTGAAATACAATATTAATGAGCATAAACTATTTCACAGGTATACAATGATAATTGAATTCTTTATACTTTGAAGTCTTTCGTTGTAGATATTTCACAATAAGATTTTATTTTTTCTAATGAGAATTCCAAAACGATACTTTATTCTTATCAAACAAAGTATTAATGTGCTTTGAAACTATGTAAAAAATAAGTCTAATCTGTGACTAGATAAAAAATTCCCAAATTGGTGTATTTCCAAGTAAATTACATTTGTCATATACAATTCGACGTTGTGCTCTAAAAACATGTCGTGGATACTAATAAAATTTTTTTTATGAATTCTAATACTTTTGGAATGATTAGATGTATCAACAACGTCGAAACTTATCACCCAAGCAAATCCCTAAATTATACAGTATTTTTTAAATTAATTCTGAGCTTAAGAGCTTACTATTTTCTTCGTATGAGTTCACTGATTTACCAGTATTTATGAATATCAAAATCAACAGTTCATATTTGAAATGCGCAGTTTATCATTTTTTATTTATAATCAATAATTTACTATTATTTACTAGGACTTTTTTTATACTTTTATGACAAAAATAATACGTATAAATATTTTTCACGCGAATCAATGCGTTAAGATGCTTCTTTAGAACTTGTCAATCACAGCTCTTGAGTCTTTTGAAAAATCGGCTAGAAACAAAATTTATTTTTCGATGACTTTAAAACCTGATAAAAATACGCACACACCCTGTGCAAGTAAAAAACAAATATTACGTCCAATAAATCTCAGAGCACGAAGACAAAGAAATAAACTAAACTCTCTTATCGCATATTCTACAAGTGAATTACGGGACATCCATTAAGAGAGATCCTCCCTTGAGCTTACGCAGCTCATCGATGGAGGGAAAGATGCATACATGATTTCTCTATTAGCCCAGAAAGAGCATTTCGATAAAAGAACCACTCGTCGTGGACAGCACGAGGGCACGAGAGTCAAACTGCACGTCAGCAACTTTGGAGGAATCAAAAAAAAAAAAAAAATGAATTTAAAAAGGGAAAATAATAAAAACGCAAACCAATGGCTCTATGCTGAGAGTACCACCTTTTTTGGGACCTACCATCGTTTGGTGCATAATACATGTATACTCCGTGGGCGTATCAGAGAAGGAAAAAAAGTGACGCAGTTTTAAATGAGAAAAAATATATTTGAGAAGCAGTGAAGGCTCTGCTGTATGGGTACATTATGCACGAGGGTATATATATATTATATTATACGTGTGTACCTATCGACGAGATGCGAACAATGTGGAGGATGAAGAAAAGAAAAATGGCAGCTGAAAAGATCGGAGTAAAAACAACGAAAAAGTGGGCTCGGAAACGGTCATCAAAACAAAGAGATAAAAAGAGTAGCGCCCACATGTATGTGTACTCAAATAGGGGGGGTTAAGCGAAGGAAAGGCAAAACAGGCCAAAGAAAGGGACGGTGGAAAAGAGAAATATAAGAATAAGAAATCGTCGCGCCTCCGGGAGGTGCGATGACGAAGTGCCGAGCGATTGGACAAGGGGATAAGCCACCTTCCCTTTCATGCGCTGCATATATATATACTTATCAATTAAAATATGTTAGTTTCAAGGTTCAAATTGCAATTGTTCGTCTTTTGAAGAATGCAAAAATGTTTGCGGAGAGTTGGACATTGGATCAATTTTTTTACCATTTAGCAGTCTTATTAATCATAGCTGCTATTTCAATGTAAATCGAGTGTTTGCTGACAATCAAGAAATTTTTATTTTTACCGTGCAGCCAATAAAAAAAGGAGAACAGGTAATGCATGTCTATTTGACTACTTTTACATTATTTAATAAAATATTTATCAATTTTTAATAAACTTCATCGATAAATTTTATATGTAAAAAATCTCAGCTATTTATTTCTTATGGTGCTACAATGAGTATGAAAAAAATTGACAGACAACAGAAGATTAAACAATCGCATCACTTTATCTGCGACTGCGTAGCATGCAAAGAAAATTGGTCAACAGACTTGATGTCAAATGTAGTGAGTAAATCAATTTTTTAACTGATTTCTTTAATTTAACACATTAAAACTCGTAAAAGTACATTTTTATGCTAATCCCTGGGGTTTCCAATAAACAATAATATTAGCTAGTTTTCAATTCGATGGATACTCCTACTCTGTCACAAAGACCATATATCCAGCATTGAGCATGAAAGTGAACTTTGAGGGTTGTTTTTTAAAGAATTTTTTTTACTAATAACTAGCCTTACAAAATCACTCATGAAAACATACAAATTCGATCATTCGATACTAGTTGGCAGTTTAGAATGACCCCCATGTTTTCTTGTCCCATTTTTGTTAACAAAACAACTATGAAATAATATTTTTATTGCAGCTAAGTGACAATTACAACAAGCTAAAACTATTGTCAGAATTTGAAAAAATTGATGGGATAGAGGAGGTGCACGCTGTTCTTTCTGCAAAGAACGATGATAAATTTGCCAACAAATCAGTCACAATTAACATTATTAAGATGATTCAAATAGTTTATGAGACTTTGACGGGCTACAAAGCTTGTTTACACTCATTTCTCCTTCGGCCTTGGATCACAAAGCACTACGAAAAAGTTTTGGGAGTGAAGATCTTTGACATACCTAGTGATTGTTAATTTTTTTTTATCTCGTTTCGTACCAGTGATCGTTTAAGTAAATAGACTATGTATAGTTTTGAAAGGTTTTGTACTTATTTGGTAAGAATTAGNCCAAGGAAAGAGAGAGAGAGAGAGAGAGAGAGAGAGAGAGAGAGAGAGAGAGAGAGAGAGAGAGAGAGAGAGAGAGAGAGAGAGAGAGAGAGAGAGAGAGAGAGAGAGAGAGAGAGAGAGAGAGAGAGAGAGAGAGAGAGAGAGAGAGAGAGAGAGAGAGAGAGAGAGAGAGAGAGAGAGAGAGAGAGAGAGAGAGAGAGAGAGAGAGAGAGAGAGAGAGAGAGAGAGAGAGAGAGAGAGAGAGAGAGAGAGAGAGAGAGAGAGAGAGAGAGAGAGAGAGAGAGAGAGAGAGAGAGAGAGAGAGAGAGAGAGAGAGAGAGAGAGAGAGAGAGAGAGAGAGAGAGAGAGAGAGAGAGAGAGAGAGAGAGAGAGAGAGAGAGAGAGAGAGAGAGAGAGAGAGAGAGAGAGAGAGAGAGAGAGAGAGAGAGAGAGAGAGAGAGAGAGAGAGAGAGGGTGAAGAAAATAGAGAGAGAGAGAGAGAGAGAGAGAGAGAGAGAGAGAGAGAGAGAGAGAGAGAGAGAGAGAGAATTCTCTTTAAAACACATTGCCTCTGCTCTCTGCAGGCGACTTTACCCTCGTTGTCATGTATAGTGAATGGCTGTCCCTTTATGTTTCTTCTAAGAGCAGCGCGGTGACAAAAAAGGCAGAGCAAGCACGAGCGTGAAAATACACTACTCTTGTCTCGCGACTTGCCTTTTGCGCTGCGGACGCGCGTTCACGCTTACGTATAAGTTTTTGTTTTAACAGACTTGATTTTCACTCTGAACTAGAAGACGGATGGAGCTTCAAGGGTGTGAGTTGAATTTAAAGTGGTTTAAAGTAAGAAAATAGATGATGAAGCGAGGGGAGGTTCCGTTTCTCTTTTCAGTCCTATACTATAAATGTAAGACTTTTCGATGACGAATCTGTCAACGAATTCATTATTGCTATCCTTCTATTAAAATTTCTATTAAATTTAATAATTATGCATTGGAAGCAAATTTCATAAACGGTTTTGGAACGGAATTAAAAGTTAACGTTTAAATTTAAAAAACGAGATCAAAATTTAATAAATAGATTATAAGTTTAATATCATTAGAGTAGTGTGATTTTAAGGACAATGTGTAGAAAATTAATAAAAACAAAAATTGATTTTTAGGCGCAAATGTGTCAGAGTAATGGTCATTGGTGCCGTAGTTAAAAAAAATTTCTCTTAAAACAAATAAGTATACGTATGAATGAATTTATTAAAGTTCCATAATCAATGATGGAAAAAATAAAAAATGTTTCAAGTTTATAAGTTAAATTTAGTGTAACATTTGTAACGTTTTCAGCTTGACAATCAGTATAATAATTGGAAATGCGTTAAGTTAAAATCGTTAAATATATTCCAAATTAAATGCAAAACAATATTAATTAGTTAATGAAAAAAATTATATTAAATAATACGTATAAATATTTTTCACGCGAATCAATGCGTTAAGATGCTTCTTTAGAACTTGTCAATCACAGCTCTTGAGTCTTTTGAAAAATCGGCTAGAAACAAAATTTATTTTTCGATGACTTTAAAACCTGATAAAAATACGCACACACCCTGTGCAAGTAAAAAACAAATAT